CCTTTTGCTGTTTAGTTGCATTTTAATACCGTAATTAAATGAAATTGAATAAAAACAACAATAATAATAATAACAGCTGCATTAGATACAATAATTCAGGATTAAAAAAAAAAAAAAAGCTTTGCTTTAAAAATTATCAACCCCAACTCATACACATACAGCCATACATATGTATGTATGTGTGTGTGCATAACAGTTTACGTTGTGATTAATTGCCACTTCAGAAGCCGATTTTTATTTGTCTAATTATTTGCGTCTATAAATATTACTGTTTAGTAGAGTGTGGGGTATCCACACGTGAGTAATATTAGCAGGGTTAATGGAAAGGTGTGATTTGTATTACGTTGTGGTCAAAATTTATAATAAAGCGTGTGTGAGTTTCAAATCATTTGTTTCACTCTGTAAGACAAGCGCGCTGGTAGAAGTGACGGTATACTCTGGGATGATACTCGCTAACATAGTGTAGGAGAAAAAGTTATTCAAGGTGCACACCTAATGTGACATTTGTAATTAAAAAAAACTACTTTGTCAATTCTTTTAAAAATTTTAATGCATATTTAAACATATTTTAAGAATACGCAGTGAAATTTCTGAGGAATAAAATTAAAAATTTTTCGGGTTACACTACGACGGCGTTAAAAAAATATATTCCACTGCTGCCTTTACCGTGAATAAAACCCAAAACCGAAATTCTCTACTAGAAGTTATTATCCTGACCTGCGCTGGAAAAAAAACTTAATGAAATGACGCCCTGGTAGGTCATTGCATGGAGAATTATGTAAAGAACATGGAGAAAAAATTTGATAGTAATCGGATCCATCGTCTCCTGCTGCGCACTCAAATAAAATTTAAAAAAATAAAGTATGTGAGTACCTCCCAAGAGGAGCATAATCGGTTTCTTCAGTGGCATCAAATTTTGTTTGACAAATTTTAGACCTGCTTCTCGATTATAAATACTTGAAATACTGCTTCATGGGGTACTAAAATGTTGGTGTGGAAAGATGCATTTCATCATCAAAAAAATTAGTTCTACTCAATTTTTAATGCATCAGAACATATTAGCACAAGGTTGTACCGCAGGGGGTTGCTTCACTTTGCGGAATGTCGGCCTATTGGTGAACATCTATGGGTGTGCCTAACTCATCTCGGACATTACAATAAACATAGAGCTAGACCAAATATAATGATAAAATTGGCTACATGATCAAAGTTTTCATCTAATGCAGTGGGCTGTTGACAGCAAAGATCTGAACCCAATCGAAAATTTATAAACTATGTTGAAACAGTTGGCTAGATATGAACCTCCAGACGTGTGGGTGAAGAAGGACAGGATTCCTAATGACGTTTGGCTGCAGTACAGACATTACACTTTTGAGCCCAAACTACGTATATACATATATGTCAAACTCTAAGATACTTTTACTATTATTTTTTACTGGATTAGCGGACACGTTTTCTGTTTTGGAAACAAGTTGGCCTAAGTGCTGAATAGTTCAAGCAGAGTTACATCTTTATTGGATCGAGTTTTGACTATGAGTGAATCATATCATATGTGTCTTGATTTCGTTATATTTATTTTCCTGAAGGTACGGCAGGTCTATAGTAGTGCAAACATGGTCTTCAGAAGACACAGTCGCAGTGTTCAAATGCCCGAAATTTTATTCAAACACCATATGCCACTTGCCATAGGGTATATTGTTCGACAAAAAAACTAAGGGGATATATAATATATATGGGAATATATATATGTATTTATTTTTATTTATTCAAATATATATCTATTATATATATGCCTTAATATTAAGGAAATAATGAAGTCAAATCATTGGCGCTTTCATTAATATTTCTGTGTTTTATTTTTTGAAATAAAAATTCTATACCTCTCGAAATGCATCATTTACTTATGGCAACTTAATGTCACAGATTAATTAAATAGCCTGCGCTTGGATTTTCCTTTCAATTTAATTTCTCTCTCAAGCGCCTTAAATTCACTTGGCAATTTGTGGACGAAAGCTCTTTGTAATGTAAGCGCGTACAACAACTTCACTTGGTGACAAAGGCTTACAGCTAAGTCTTTTATATTCGAAAGTAAGTGGCGAGTAGCGAGAATTTAAATACTTATGCAACGCCAAAAAAACAAAATTAAAATAAAATAAAAACAGAAAATGTGCATCTTTTATGACGTCACCCCGCTTCCTTCCGGTGGGGCGAGCACCCAGGCCTCGAGCAACGCTGGCGATACTAAATTTATGATTAAGTAATAAAAATGTTTATTATAACCAAATTTGCATCGCTGTGTCATTTGCCACTTGCTGCACTGTGGTCGGCGCGCCGTTATAAGCGTAAATAATAATGAGCGCGATAATTTTTCGTTTAACCAAAATAATTCGAAAATTCACCAGAATATGTATAATGTAGTGAAATATTCTTACGTTTTATATGCCTCACGCTAGTTCCTGTTCGTTTTGTAACGATTTTATTGTTCCGCTATTTTGTTTATCGAAACGCGCTTGAAACTTGCGGCTATGCCGTGTAAAAAACTTAACGGGCGACTAGAGTTTGCAGCTCAGCAGTTGCGTTTTACTGCGCCAAGACAGAAACGCGTAAATGCAGTTTAATGGTTCAATGGTTTAATGGTTTAAGATAAAAAAGTATTCGTAAGTACTAGGACGTGGCATTCATTTACTTAAATTGTAAGTGTGAGCGCGTGGCACGTACTCTCAAACCGCTGCAATGGCGCTGTGTTGCATATAACGAGGACTACTTTCGCTTGTTGAGGTGACAGTGTGTGCGGGTAGTCGTAGAAATTTTATAGGTATTTTTCTGGCATTTGCAACGACCATCGAGGCGAGCAGAAGAGAATCTAGCTTAAATCTAACAATTAAGGTATTGCTGAACCGAATAAGGTATTACAGCTGGTTTATTTTTCTTTGAGGTTATCAATTGAAGCGAGCTCAAGAAATCTGAGATTCTGCGTTTGCGTCACTTGCAGAAAAATTCTTAAATTTCAGTTCATGAATAGGATTCTACTTTTCTGTGCTAGAAACATCATTGTATCGAAAATTGTAGAATGATAAATTCACAATTTAATGATTTCCGCAAGGAAACGTAAAATATGTGATCCTAGTATTTCGCTCCAGAATTTTGTACAAAATGAGTACCCAATATTCTGGATTCAATTCTCAAAGTCCTGCTTTGCTATTATTAATAGTTCAGCACATTTGTTACGCCTTAACAACTAAGTAGCTTTGTGGTTTTCAGTTCTCTGAGAAATATATTCCTACAGGGTCATATAGATGCACTACGTTATATTAGGTATAATAGCCACAATCGGTTACATGCAAAAGCATTTACGCTATATCTTAGCTCTTTGTATTAAATGCGTGAGGAACAACAAAATAATTATTGTCGCTTATTAAGAGTAATAAAACGATTCCACCATAACATTGCAGCAGTAAATATGCCGACATTAATGAAAATCAAGGTAGAGAAGTGGGCCTAAGGGAAGTGTTGATACGCCAAATGGGATATGTGTGATGTCACCAATGGTGAGGAGTAGTAAGAATCGTGGAGAACGCTAACAACAGTGATTGCATTATACAAATTTAAGCAAATAAATTAAATGATAGTGCAAGGTAGGAGGAAAATGTTAACATTGTAAAGCTTTGAATATTAATCATCCATTAACACCTGCTGAATGCCAGATATTTATTTTTTAAGGTGTTTTGAGAGGAAACCCTTGGTTATACTCAAAAATAATGTAAGTTTTCAACCCCCTTCAATCTTATTGAAGTATCGAAGTCGTACAGGTAAGCAAATGCATATGTATGTTTGAGTTATAAAAGATTATTAAAAAAAAAATTATTTAAACAAATCTAAAAAAATTTATATAAAATTGTTATTTGCTTAAGCAGCGACAGTATGAGATGACTTTATAGGAACCGCATTCAAAATTAGTCAGTGGGTGTGGCACCGCCCACTTTTAGGTGGAAACCCATATCTTGGGATCCGCTTAACCGATTTCAACCAAATTACATAACCTTCTTTTCACATTTCTATGTTATAGTGCGAAAATGGGCGAAATCGGACTACAACCACGCCTATTTCCCATTAACACCATTTTAAATTTCATCTGATTCTTTCACTTTTCACTATAAAAATCGAGCAACAATGATTGTATCGGGGTAGAACTTTGCGTGAATAATGCGTTTAAAGTAATCCACCTTGTGACTAAAAATTATCTAAATTGAACCAAAACTGTGCAAGCCCCTAGGTACTGAATATGTGGACCCCAATGCCTATAGTTGACTTTTTACCGAAAATATCGGTCAACATAGAACAAGCCTTCCTAACTTGTTGAAGATACCATTGTCCAGCTAATTAAAAAATTTAGAATTAAGTTTGGGTTATTCTTTTAAAGATTTCTGATTAAGTAATTTATTCCTTTTCCTACTTTTTTACGCTTTTCCATCGATGCAGCGTAATGAAAATATTAATAATTCGGTGTGCTGCAGTAAAGACTTATATTAGTAGGAGTCACTAAAAGTAGCTTTTGGAGCTTAATTGGACCTTTTTTTATTGTCCTTTCTGAAACTTCAAATGATTTAAATATTTAAAGATTTACCAAACCGATACTTTGATCCACATACGATAATTCGACAAAGTTTTTATTCATTTTTATTCGAAAAATTTTCATCTCGAAAATATAATATGAGGTATGAGATTGCCGGGAAAACCCGCTTTAAAATAACATATCCATTTACTCATATTATATTTGTGGAAATCTTTGTATTTTACGTGAGTTTGTCCAGTGGCATGCAACATGAGAATGTCAAACATTTTAGAAATTCAGAAATCGAATAGTGGCAAAGACTCCTACAAGAAACTAGTAACGGCGGTATCAAACGTAGAAACTTGCCCACACAACAGTCAATAACAACTTGTGCGGTAAAGGCGCTACGAGACGCTTGCTACGATGGCTTAGACTAGTAGCCAGTCACATTGTAGTTTGTGAGTTAGACAGGTGTGCAAGCGCTGAGCAATAGGGCACGACCAGAAGGCCAGCAACGAGCAACTAAATGTCATTAATCGTTTCGTTTGACTATACATTAGTGGGATTCGAAAGCTGTTGCAATCTGTATCGAAGGAATGGAATCTCTGCAGAGGTTTATAATAGACTCTACTATGAAAATGTTGTGAACCGTATAATTTAAAAATTTTACAAATGTTTATTTGGAAGATCATTTAGAGTTTTTTCCGGTTAATAAAATCAAAAATTTACACTTGCACCTGAGTTTCAAAGGTAAATAAATAAATTAAGAGATCTACAAGTGTGAACCCATAAAGGACTGATTGTATAAGAAACCCTTTTTTTATTACTTAAAAACAACCCTTTGGATTTGAGATTGCCTAATGATGTCAGCGAGCTTGAAAATTTCTGGTGAGCACTGAGAAGACTATCTACAAAAATCAGCAACTTGAGTACTCAGAAGTCTATCTACTAATTCCGGTAAGATCTATAGAAGTCTTCACAAAAATTGTTGACCGCCGCAAAAACTTCGCAATTTGCAGTTTCACCCTCGTATGTAAACGTTGGCTCACCAACGTATATACCTAGAAGCTGTTGTCATGATTTAGTAGTACCTACAACATAGTTCCATACACTTTTTATTCTTTTTATGTTTCTTTTTTCGAGCGCTTGAGTTGACCTATAAAAATTAATTTAGCAATAAAACCTAAGCAAAACAAAAATGATTAACGCTGAACGATCGCTGCAATGGAGAAAAAAAAGGTTTCGATGTCGTCACTGGCACTGCAGTACTTCAGTACACTTACCGCCACTGCCAGTGCCAGTTTCCTTGACACTATTCTGCAGACCATAGCAGCATTACAGATGCAGTTGGTCGAACAAAAGGAGAGAACTTTGTCGTTGTATCAGTTACCAGCGGATTTGCATTGCAACGGAGCTGTAAGCCACCCACCTACACATTCATACATACAGACATATTGAAAAGCCAGGCACACATTCAAACATACAATTGTATATGTATGCATGTAGATGAGCTGCGTTGCGGTACGAAAACGGAAGGTGTAGTTTAATCGATATGGGGCAGTGTGGGGGTGCGGGTGCGCGCAATTGCAAATCGTGATTTGAATGCGTTACGTTGCTGGCATAACAATTGAACGAATACACTTTACATGCGCCTAGGCGCTGTCCATTCACGGACCGCGGCCGCGGCCTCTCGACACGATCACGGGCCATGATCGCATGGTTGTTGTTGTTGTTATTTTTTATTTGCAATATTTATTTTTGCTAGTTCTGTTATTAGACTCTTAGTACATATCAACTGACTGACTGACATATGTATGTATGAATGTAACTGTGGGTTGTTGTTGTTATATTTTGGTCATTTTTTTATTTTTAGAATTAAAGCAAACATGAGTAAAACTATACACGCGCATATACATATATGTATATAACTCTATATGTATGTAGGCTTGTTTATATGCAACTATGCACAGGACCTATCGCTATGGCGCATGCGCGTAGGTTTTTCCGATTTTGTGTGTAGACTGTCAATTGGTTTTTATCCGTCTGTGGATGAGTAGTTGTTATTTATGTTGCTACAATTTTACAAATGTTTTTTTTATGCTTTGTAATTTTCTTATATTTTTCTTATTTTGTGTTATTGTTGTTTTTTATTTTGCATTCAGCCTTGTATTCGCTTGCAATTGACTTTATAAGGGCATTTCGTTGCATTCATTTGCGAATTGAGTTTCAATACTAACCGTTGAGTTTCAATACTAATGTTACTTATTGTTATTATTATTTTTCTTGTAGCTAGTTTGTTATTCTAGGCGCTGCTTACCGCCATGGTCCACTGTCATTACTCACAACTGGCCTTTTTCTTTTCACCTTAAATGGTATTTTTTGTGTGATCGGGCATTGGGGTATGTATACATACATATATATATATATATATAGATGTATATTTATATGTCGATGAGGGTTGTGGTTTTTGTCACAATGGGTGTGGGAGTCGGCACGATTGTTAAGTGTGGCACATTAAAGGAGCTGTTTGCGCCGATTGCAATCGAATTCAATTGGTTTAACATTTTCTGTTGCCATTTATTAGTTATAATTTTTGGTTACTGTTTGGTTGTCTTGTAAAGTTTTGGTTGTTTGAGAGTGTGACAGTTATTTGCCAGGCTAATAATAACGGAAATAATAATTTCTTACCATGACAAGTTCGGCATTACACTTACAGCAAAAAAGAGCGTATTTCATAAAAAGTTATAAGCTTAAGCTTGCTATTATAAAAATAAGATTAAATAAATACAATAAAAAATTTTTCAAAAAATTGTCATTTAATCAATATTGATTTAATGTATTTACTTATCAATTTCACTTAAACAGATTTTCAATTTGTTATCAACACTTCTCAAAAATATATACACACGAAATTATTCATTTATTTTATTAATTTAAACAGATGACAACCCCTACCAATTATTATATCTACTATTAGTCTAATCAAACCTAAAGCGGATGAAATTTCATAACTTTATTAAATTGATTACATTTGATGAGCGAAATTTATTATAAGCTAATTTTTTATCAGGTGGCTAATCTGCCAAATTTATATTCGACCGAAACTCTTCTAAGCGGGATTACTTAGTTAGTTATAATATTATAATATTACTTTTCTTAAATTATTTAAAATAGGTGCTTCAATTAAAAAATATTTGTATAAATAGTTGACAACAATTTTTAAAAATATTTTCAAACGTAAACCTTAACAAAGCTCAACCGTTATTTATGTACGCAGTATATTTTAAAAATTTGTTTTATTTACAGTTTAATTTCAATAATACATACATATATTCCACAAAGCTTGTTTAATTTTTTCGCTTGACTCCCATATTTTTACGGCTTTATTTCCTAAAATTTTTTCAGTTGTCATTTCTAAAAAAATGGCATATATTAACCTTCTTATAATATGTGGCAATTTTCCAAAAAATATTTTCGCTTCCTATTGTATTTAAAAAAAAAAACAGTCCTTTGTTTTCCACTGTCTTATCAGATTTTAAGAGAACTGTCTAATCTGTGACAAATTCCAACATTACATATTAAATTAATCTCTAGAGTTCTGCTGTGTGTTTGGGAGATCCAAATTTTTTAGTGGTCATCGGCGACACTTAAGAATTTACAAGAAATATAATAGGAATCGACTTCGGCAACTAAGTAATGTAGGGTTTACCCCCACATTTCCGTTAGATTTAAAAATTAAATATCAAATCAATTTTCAACTCCACATGCCTTCTTGCCTTTCCTTTATCACCAAATCTCAAAGAAGCTACTGTTTATTTCTTGTATTCCAGATCGCAGTAGCGGAGGATGCAGCTTTTATGTTTTATGCAGAGGAAATCCTTTTCAGAACTACACTCCGATGTTGGCCTTGTAGTGTCTTCTCTTTGCGTTTTCAGTGTGACCAATACTCAATACAAAACTTTAAAATCTTTAAAAGATAAATTATACTTGACAACGACAAAGAGCATAAAATAATAAACAAAAATTTACCATCGCTGCAATGTTTTCATTGACTTATAGACCACGTTAAAAGACTGAGTTAAGTCTGATTTGTTTGCCAATTCGATTTACGCAAAAGATTTGTAATTTTGCATAAAAACAAAACTTCAAAAAATACTTTACATTAACTATAGTGCAGAAGCGGCATCTAATAGCGTCCGTTAAGAAATACGATGCGATCGTTGCCTATCTACCACATATGTATGTACATTGTGGCAGAAAAGGCCAAAAGTGGTTTTTGGCCAAAAACAGTGTGACCATTCGGTGGTAAACGTCCATTAATTTGAGAAAACACAAATGCAATTACAAAGTATATACTTGTATACATACTATGTATGTATTGTTCCAAAATTGTCCATCATATACACTCTGGAAGTTTGTGCAGGCTTCATATACAGGGTGCTATCAAGATATTTATCCAATGGTGACCATATTGGAAGTTCAACGAGAACCTAACGGCAATTTTATACCCCGAATGGGGTATACTAAGTTTGCCACGAAGTTTGTAATACACAGAAGGAAACGATCACTATGATGAGATGAGTCGATTTAGTCATGTCCGTCTGTCTGTTCGTCCGTTGAGGTATTGATCTGAAATGCATACGTCCTTTTCTCTCCAAGATCCTGCTCATTTGTCGGAACTGCCGATTTCGGACCAATATAAGCCTTTTCATTTAACGAGATATATTTACCAAATTCCACACAGCTTATTGTCTAAGGCAATGGTGGAATCTCCGAAGAAATTGTTCAGATCGGATCACTATAACATATGTGTCATATAAACTGAACTATCGGAATCCAGTGCTTGTATGGAAAACTTTTAGATTTAACGAGATATCTTTACCAAATTTAGCATTGAACTGAGCAAACCAAATCAAGTTCTTGTAAGGAGTCCTTGGTTTTTGTGAAGGGTATTATAGCTCCAGTGCTACCGAAGGTACCGTCTTTTCTAGTTATTTCTAATACTAAAAAAGCAAAAAAAAAATGTTTTTAAAACATTTATCGAAAATGAATTGAATTGTTCTCGATCATCACCATCAATATACTTAGCATTGTGTCTCGAGTTTTGCAGTGTAAAACTAAATTTTTATTTACATATGGAAATCGGTTTTATTCTGTACCTCTTATGGACACCCTATATGACGTATTAAATTGTACCGTAAGCCCAATGGGCGTCAAGAAGCATCGGACCAGCCATTGGTGGGCAGCAGGCTACAAGCGATCGCATCGTTTTGGCGTGGCATTCTGACACACGCTGCCATTTGTGCTCGTTTGTGCACTTGCGCAAAAGATCGCAGACAGGTTACACTTGTCGTATGTGGCATTTTAACGGCGTTTTTCTATTTTGCACATTTTTGTTTGTTTTGGCTCGTTATCTGCCGTCCGGCGATGACAATTGTTCGTAGTATTGCTGCCACTTTACTTAATATATTGAGTAAAAATTGTGTGCGTCGTAGAAAATCAAAGCCAAATAAATCAAAATCGCAGCACAATAAAATATTTAATTTAATCGCATACAATGATGGTAGCTATTTATAAAAAATTTGGTGTTAGATAGTAGTGAGGAGGAAGCTTAAAAGTTAAGTACAATGTGATTAGAAACTAACTTCAGGATTCATAAATTATCCGAAATAAGTTGAAGTAAACCTTTTTGTGTAAACCATATGGGAGGCCTAGGAAATATACCGAATTACCTCACGCGATTTATATACTCTGAACAGGGTATATTAAGTTTGCCACGTAGTTTGTAACATCTAGAAGGAATCGTCGGAGACCATATAACGTATATAGACATAAATGATAAGCGTGATAAGCCGTCCATGAATAATAATATTCAAACTCAATCCGGACGAGTTTTGTAATACTTTATAGATTAATGATCAACCGTGGTAATAAAACTGTAAAGCACGAGTAATAATAAAACATTTCGTATGTACATAGTATATAAAACCTTTTTGTTGATTTGGAAAATTAGTTTTTTGAAGATAAATTTTCAGAACTGTCCATATATAAGAATAAAAATGAACTTTCACGATCTATATTCAGATAAAATTTTCATTTATAGCTTACCATTTTTCACTATCATCTAAAATAAATATTCCACATCGCTCTCGTCAACACATCACATTATTTGGCAAAGTTATATTGTATGAGTACTTCAAGAACTCTGTCAAAAAAACCTTACGAACTTAGCTAACACTTACCTGTAAAGAAAAAAGCAAAAATGGGAGAAGAGAAAAGAAAAACAATTAGTATCTCTGTCAATTGAAGAGGAGTGTTTAGAAATATATTAAAAATCTATTTGCATTTTCATTGGCGAGCGTGCGGTTCGACCAGCTGGGGAGCGAGCAATCGTATGCGGCAGTCAATTGGAGATGCAATTGTAATTACTACGGTTAATCGTGGCAGACGAATGCATACGAGTATATGTACACATACTTATTTATGCACTAGTGTTAATATAATATTATAACTATAAATATGCCATTGGGCGGATATTTAGTGATCTTAATCAGATTAAATACACATATACATACAATTTAATTGTGCATTATGATTAACTGTTTGTTCAGTTGTACTTCTGTGCGCCTTATATACATATGTATAGTTTATATATTACTAATATATCAATATTCATATGTACATCTATATGTATATATACCATATATATATATATATCATATAGTCATTAACTTCTTCATAACCATAATATTTTGCATACCTCGTTGTTCTATTCATATGTTAATAGCTAATTTTATTCGCAACTACTACTATCATTATTACTGTTATTTCAGCCAAAGCTAATAATTCGACTTTTTATGGCTTAATAATATATATGTATACTATTATGTATATATAATAACTGTACTTATTAATCTGCTAATAATAGTAGTGTGCTTAATATGCATTTTACCACTACCACTAATGTGCCACTAAATATTTTTATAATAGCAGATACTGTTAACATTTGTATGTAAATGTAGGTAATATAATATATAGATTATATTGTATGATATCAACAATAACATTCTGTTTTTTTAAAAATGTACATATATAAGTTTTTCATTATTTTTTAATTATGCTGTGATATATTCCTAAATTAAGTTCGAACTAATTTAATAGTATAGACCGGCATTAACGGAATTGATAAACGTTTGTGAGTAGCGTGTCGAACAAATATTACCTCTTACGTCTTCTATAAGGCTAATAAAAATAAATATAAAAGTCCACAAAATAACATTGCATTTTAATTTTAATTGAAATTTTTGCTTTGAGCAATTCAAAACAAACCTTGGTAGAATTAATGATAGCGGTTATATTAAGCTAATGAAGTATCAGCATACTCTATTGTATATAATTCTACTCGATAAAGATTATTTTCTGAAGAACATTTTTGACAAGAGAGCAGGGCCCAAAGATAGTGACCAGAGAATCTGAGACGTCTAATATAAATATTAAAAATATAATAAGTTTTATCGGAACGACATAATTGAGAGAAAAATATACAACAAGTCTATTTATGGTCAGTAGGATTGATTGCCGCGAGCAATGTTCTAATATACGATTCTATTAATACTTTAATACATATATGTTAGAAAAAAAAGGTTATGACTGATATGAGATTTAATTGAAGATAACTAAAAACACGGAGAACATCTCAGAAGTTAAATACGTATGATTTATATTGAGGCTAGATTACAAAAATAAGTTAATGCTAAATGCCAGGATCTCATTTTAAATTTTCTTCGAGAAGATGATCAATATTTGGCCAAGAGTATTCTTGAAAATGTAGAAGAATTTGCCAATTTTGGGTCCTCAGAGAATTCATTAAAACCATATACTACCATATATATATAGTGAAAGACTTACTGTTGTGGTCATAAAAAGATCGAGAGATGATAATGATTCAGACAAAATTCGTTTAGAAATGAAAGTAGTTTGCGTTAGATTGGCTTGAAACTGATTACTGGTGACATACAATACTTTAAGGGAAGGAAATACGGTTAGATGATCAAAAATAATTCCTTTTATTTATAAAATCGTTAGAAAAATTGTTGAAAAATATCTTCAGCAAATTTTAAATGTAAATTTCCATTTGTTTTATTATTATTAGTCATTAAAGTGAGCAGCTCTCCTTCAGCATACAAACTAGTATATTTTTAAATGCGTTTTCTCGATTTATTTTTAAATTGTGTACACGCTAGTTTTGAAAGTTTACAACTAATCATTGTAACTGGACAGTTAGAAGTTAATTCCAACCTCCTTTGATTTCAAATAAAAATTGTTGCTTCCAGAATTTCGCAAAATGCTGAGTCTGATTGTTACCTGCAATATGGCGTTTCTAATTTTCACCAAACAGATGCGCCATCACATAACACTCCATGTTTAAGTAAGTTGTTTGCCAACTATGAACTCTTTATTTACTAGATTTGGTTCTCTACAACGTTATCCTGTTCCTTAAACTAAAATATTCGGTCTCAAAATTATGTGTGGGAAATTTAGATCATTAAAAGAAAGTCCCTGAAAGAAATAAGACTCGTTCTGGAATGAAGCTGGTATTGTACAAAAAAGAGGATGCTTCAAAGATTATAATGAAGATTTGCTTTTCTTAACTAATGTATTTGTATATCCTCTTGTAGGACTCAAAGACTGTCAGTAGATTACTAGAAGATAAATTAGAAATAAAGTACAAAATTGATTTTATTTTCTTAAACTATTTTCTAACATCAACAATTTTCAATTCCAATTCCATGAAAAACCGAAGACAGAAACTCATCAAGCAAAAGTTAATTTGTTCATCCAATTGAAAATAATATGGATCAAAGCGAGATAATTGTGATTATTAAGAACCGCTACCAGAAAACGCCTCGCAGGAACGCTAATTATTGGATTACAGTAACAATTTCCTGCCTGCCGCGCCAGCACGCTGACTGTGCGATATGTGTGTGAGTTAATTCTCAATCAGTCAATCGTTGAAAATTACAGTTGTTGCAA